CAACCCTAGTGAGAAGTGTTCTATAGAAAAGATAACACCATGATAAAAACAAAGCAAGTATATTTTTTAAAAATACAGCAAGGTTATGAAATATAGATAGAACAAATGTATCTAGAATGTGATGACTGTGTGATATGAAGCTCTTTCTCACAAGGAGTTTGTAAATGCATTAATTCCTCTGTTTCATAACTATGTTTAAAAAATAGAGTTGCAAGTTTATCTTCCTGTTGTATAAATTTCCTTGAGGTCCAGAGTTTAAGCAGGATGTTGATATTGGTTGTTTCTCACCAATGTGATTCAGATCTGTGTGTTTCTTGTAATTGCAAAGTTAAATACATCTTTTATATTGTCTGTCTGTTTGTGATGACTTAAATTCACTTTTTAGCAATCTCCAGATCCTCACAACACAGTATGCTGGGACCAGAAATTGTTGCTTTCCTTGACCTCTATTTTGGGGGAAAGGCAGGTTAATAATAAAGTAAATAAACCAAAATAATCACATTTGGTCATATCCAAGGTTATAGGTTGTAGATGGTCAGATCGGGAACCTATCCCCTGTGGATACAGAGGTCATACTGTATACACAAATCTGAAAAGTATGCAAACAGTTCACCTAGTCTAATATTATGGACTGCTGATCAATGTTGGTTACGGAGAACACATGACTCCCTAAACTAACTAGGACAATTTCCGGTCTGTTTCTGGGTGCTGTTCAAAGTTCTACTTACACTCTATAAAGCTTTTTACAACATGGGTCCAAGGGGTAGATTCTAGGTTATCTCAAAGGCCTTCCAGACAAGTCTATCTTGCCTTTGGGGAAGACTTGTGTTTAATGATGACATAAGACAGAACCTGCTTGTTGACCATTCAAACTCCAGAGTTCCCTGCAAAGAGCAGACTTGCCTTTTCTCCAGTGAGATCATACATGCCTTTAATGCTCACAATAACCTTGTGAAATAAATCAGACTGCGAAAGAGTACCTTAACCAAAGGTACACAGCAGACTTCAGACTCAGTGAGGAGT